CATAATAAACCTATTAGTACGAGGTTTAATGGGACACATAGGCCTGATTGTCGTGATAAAAATCAGAATAGACTGATCGTTTTTCATAGATTCCTCTAACTTCAAATCAGAGGGGTGTAAAAATAGTGTTGAAACAGTTGGGTGGGATGATTTAGTTAAAAGTTCGGTGGGATGATTTAATTAAAAGAAGAAATAATTCAAACATGTGTACAACTAATGATAATGAAAGCTCTAATTTATTCGACCATACGTTCTGCACCTTCCATGTTTTACGAACTAACAACAGACTCAATTTTCTAAATAACGTTAAACAAACACTTGCTAATGTTCATGTACTTATCCCCCAGTGGGACAGCGGTATGTCTGCGGACTTACAACGGTAGAAACCGGGTTTCGATACTCGTGGTAGGCAGCGCACAGATGACCCATTGTGTAGTTTTGTGCTTAATTACAAACAAACAAATTCATGTACTTACGGTATCTTTAGTACATCGTTGAAATTAACAACAATAGATAAACTCAGTGATCAATCCATCACTGTAATATACTTTCTATGGTTATAATTACTTTATTTGTGATTAGACATCAGTATTAGGCCTATAACATTTTTTAACACTGTGTCTCAATTGGCCTTGAAAGTTGCTTCCCTTATATGTAATTGTAAAAAAAACGCCCTTAAAACTATAAAAAATATTTCGAAAGTCTTACTTGAGGTTCGTCGAAGAAGTCAAGGTTGATCATAACTCCAACAATGTGGGAAGTTTCGTTAACAGCAACAAAAGAAAGTTCATGCTGCACCAAATCTTTCCACAGGAGCCTCAGGAACTCAGTATGGTCCTCGACAGACGTTTTTAAAAACAAATCTAAAGGGTTTTTCTTGGTAAATGATTCTGCAATTACATGTGCAACATCGTCAAAATTTGTCACATTCGATATATTTTGAACTTTCAGTTGAGTTAACTTACTCTCATCTGATTGGAAGCCAGCAACAGTTTGTATAAGAGAACTTAACGACGGTGCTGTAAGAAAATCATCTATATCAACAAGGTACCCAAATTCATTTAGCTTGATGACAGTTTCAACTGCTGTTACAGAAGTTCCACCATTTTGGAAAAAAGATTTATTGATGTCCAACATTGGCTTATCTACTGCAAGTATTGACGATATGATATCCACAATGTCTTTGTTTGTGTTGACATATTTATCAACTTCCAATGATGCAGTTCCGTCATGTTTAGTTTCTCTGTTGATCATTTTCTTTAATGCATATTGATCAATATTGCCACTAGCCAGGAGAGGCATCTGGTCCACTTTAAATATTTTAGGGATCATGAAGTTCGGAAGAACGTGTTCAAGGGTTTCTTGGACAGCCCTGGTTTTTAAATCATGGCCTTGCTTTGGAGTGAAGAAAGCTAAGATGTTTGGGTCCAAATCTTGTGGATTATCACAGCAAACAGCCACTTGTTTTATCTCTGGTATAACTTCAATAGCTCTTCGGATTTCTTCTAAGTTTACCCTCATTCCCCGAATTTTTACTTGCATGTCTTTCCGACCAGCGTAATACAAAATGTTATTTCGAACAAACCCTAGATCTCCTGTCTTATAAACAATGTCATATTTGTCTGAAAACGGATTATGAAGAAAGCTAGCCGAATCTTTTCTCTTCGTTGCGTGGTAGCCCTCGGCCACATTCAATCCACTAACACATATTTCTCCTACTGTTCCTTCTGGCACATTCTGCAAATAATCGTTCGTTACATATATTTCAGTATTAGATAGAGGTTGGCCAATTGGAACTAAATCTTCAACATGATGATAACATTGTTCTTCTCCATCAAATAAAGCAAACGTTACATCACCGGTGGTTTCTGTAGATCCATAGAAATTAGCAATTTTGCCAGAAGGGAAAGCTAGAAAGAATTCTGTCAGAAGTTTCTTTGTGAGAGTTTCTCCGCTACATACCCATAACTTTATGGTTGAGTTTTCTCGGAAACTTGGTTCAATCTTGAGATACCAAAGAATCATTTGTAACAAAGTTGGTACAACGACTATCCTGGTGACTTGATGTTTCTGAAGATGTTGAAGAAGACTTTTAGGATTCTGGGTTATAATATTTGGAAGGATAACCAGAGGTTTACCAGCCATCAGTGGTGGAAATGTTTCAGTCAGAGAGTCAACAAAAGTAAGGCTTTTTGTAGCAGAGCACGTTGTGTTACAGTCCATGGGGAAGTTTAGAAGTTGCCACTTAAACCTGTTGTTAAGGTTTCTGTAACCAAGACGGACTCCTTTTGGTTCCCCAGTGCTTCCTGATGTTAACATTATAACCGCAAGAGAAGGCTGGTCGTGAAGCCTCTGTTCATCTTCTGGAAACTCTGAGGAGATTGAAAACAGAACATCATCTACATCTTCAGATTTACTTTGTTTTGGATTATGTATTTTGGTTTCTTTCTATTGCTATTTGTACACTCTCTTCTGACTCACTGGGTTTTGGTTTCTGTATTTTGGTTTCCTTCTATTACTATTTGTACACTTTCTTCTGACCCACTTGGTTTTGGTTGCTGTATTTTTAAAATACAGCAACCAAAACCAAGAGAATCAGAAGAAAGTGTACAAACAGTAAAAATAAGAAACCAAAATACATCAACCAAAACCAAGTGAATCAGAAGAAAGTGTAAAATAGCATTATAAGGAAAATAAAATACAGCAACCAAAACCAAGAGAATCAGAAGAAAGTTTACAAACAGTAAAAGTAAGAAACCAAAATACATCAACCAAAACCAAGTGAACCAAAAGAAAGTGTAAAGAAACTAAAACCAAGCAACCAAAACCAAATAAATCAGAATAAAGTTTAAAAATAGTGATAGAAAGAAACCAAAATACAGCAACCAAAACGAAGTAAATCAGAAGAAAGTGTACAAATAGTAATACAAATAAACCAAAATACAGCAACAAAAACCAAGTGAGTCAGAAGAAAGTGTACAAATAGCAATAGAAACAAACCAAAATACAGCAACCAAAACCAAGAGAATCAGAAGAAAGTGTACAAATAGTAATAGAAAGAAACCAAAATACAGCAATCAAAACCAAGTGAGTCAGAAGAAAGTGTACAAATAGCAATAGAAACAAACCTATTCCTTATAATGCTATTTTACACTTTTCCTTGATTCTCTTGGTTTTGGTTGATGTATTTTGTTTTTTTGTTTTACTATTCATACACTTTCTTCTGATTCACTTGGTTTTGGTTGCTGTATTTTGGTTTCTTTTCTTGCTATTTGTACATTTTCTTCTGGTTCACAACGTTTTCGGTTGCTGTATTTTGGTTTCTATTAATTCCTATTTGTACATTTTCTTCTGCTTCATTTGGTTTCGTTTGCTGTATTTTGGTTTCTTTCTATTGCTATTTTTGCACTTTCATCTGACTCACTTGGTTTTGGTTGCTGTGTTTTGATTTCTTTCTATTACTCTTTGTACACTTATTCCTGATTTAATTCGTCTTGGTTGCTGTATTTTGGTTTTTTTCTATTACTATTTTTAAACTTTCTTCGGAATTCATTTAGTTTTGGTTGCTGTATTTTGGTTTCTTTATACTGCTATTTTACACTTTCTTCTGATTCACTTGGTTTTGGTTGGTGTATTTTGTTTTTTTATTGCTATTTGTACACTTTCTTCTGATTCACTTGGTTTTGGTTGCTGTATGTTGGTTTCTTTCTATTACTATTTTTACACTTTCTTCTGATTTATTTCGTTTTGGTTGCTTTAGTTTGGTTTCTTTATATTACTATTTTTAAACTTTCTTCTGATTCACTTGGTTTTGGTTGTTGTATTTTGGTTTTTTATTGCTATTTGTACACTTTCTTCTGATTTACTTATTTTGGTTGCTGTATTTTGGTTTCTTTTTATTACTATCTACAAAAACGTATAATAAAATAAATTAATTACTAAAGAAACCTCAGTATAATGAGGCAAGAAAAATAGATTTATATTGTTGCGTCAGCGAGTCACATGACTACTGTGACGCCATGTTTCTAGAACTATCCTGTACTTTGGCGAATGCTCTAGTATTTACTAGATATAGGGTAGTCGGGTATAAAAGAGGATGACAATGTGACGCGCGAGGAAGAT